AGAATTAATTTCATTGTTCTTTTGAAAACATGTGTTCCTCCGTTTGTCCATACAGTCCTGTATCTCAAACATGTCTGGAACAATCACATACAGACTTAACACTTTTCAAGAAGATCTAAGATTTCACTTTTTTTTTTACAGGATTGTCACTTTCTGGTTAAACTACATGCCTTAGAAGCATCCAGACTACCAGCAGGTAGAGCTGTCAATCCACAGGTACATATCATCTTTAAAATAATAGAAATCTACCATCAATAACAACTTCTAAAAGCAATACTTCATCACTATGTGTGTTGTTTATCTGTTTCATAGAGAAAGTCTATTACTAATTTGGGTCCTATCTATGTATCAGTTCCCAGAATTGAGATGGCTCTGTAGACCCTATCTCTTGCACACTCCCATTTCTCTATCACAGGTTGTGTTGTATATGACATGATGTTTGATTTTCTTTTAGGCACACAGTCTAGAGTATGATGAGCCTCGACAACTATGCCATGTATTATAACCTATTTATTCTTTTGAATTTAATTTATAAATAATATTATTTATCTTGCCTTAGGTAGATAAAGCCAAATGCTCTTTATCTAGTTTCTTTTCTGCATAGTCTCCAGTTAATCCATTCCTATATTTAATCCACCACATAATCCCCTTGCATCTTGCGTAACTGGCTTTATGCATAAATCTAAATTCAAAGTGTTGTACTTGTGCGAGTCCTGGAGACATTAGTGGCTGTGACTAATCGAGGATTATGCATTATCTGCATTTTGAAATTGTATTCTGGGATAATTCTTTAAGCTTTATAAGGATCTTGCAACAATTCTGGGAATTATGTAAAGGTTATAAAATTTGGGAATGCAGACAGAATGCGGGAATTCCCTGGATTTTCATTTGGACTGTGCTACTGTAATTGGAAACAGTGGAACATTCTTGTTAATCCAAACATGCTGGAAAACCATTCTAAAGTTCAGCAAATGAAAATCTGACAAACAATCAGTTAGGAAGACAAAACAATGGTCAACATTTGGAATGTTTATTACATATTAAAATTTAGGAATGATCTCAGAGTGCATATTTTACACATACAATATTAATCTGCAAGTCATAATCATGAGATTGGCAGACCATAAGAATGGTAAGTCTTGACATAATGCAATATTACTTAACCAAACAAAATGAATACTCTTACGTGAGTAGTTGAGATCACAATTTCAGGCAAATCGCTGGTCAGTGTGTGTTGTATCACCTCCTCATACATTGCTGTAATCTGCTGTAACAATATTGTGGTCAGTGTGTGCTGTACTTGCTAGACCAGGAATTCACTTCACCTCAGATTGTGCATACAATTTAATTATTTGATGTCAACATTTGATAGAGGTCTCTAAGTGGTTAATAATTATATGCCGTTCTGATAAGACAACAAGGAAATCTGGATTTATTTTAATGTATGCATTTTAATGAAGAGTATAAGTTTACTTAGTTTTACAGAAAATTACTATGACATTCGATTTCAAATGATATTCCGATTGTATTTTCCTGTAAAATATTGCAATGATCAAAACTGTGCTTATGAAAGTATGACTTTTTCTAAGAGACGTTCTTACAAAATGTCATCAACTTTCTGTCTATAGTTAACTGTATTTATTCTCAGAATCCATTGGCAATTCAGTATTAAATCTCTAGGGTTAGGGCTTTCCACATAAATTTGTCATTTTATGAGGGAAGTGTTAAATACCTGAGTTATAAAATGTATTTCCATGGAGATAATACTACATCAAAACTATCAATGTTTTTTTTGTTTTTTTCATTCTGATTGATCACTTCTTTTGTAGATTTCTTCTCAGAGTAGATTCTCAATTATTTTGATTTTCCCACTATTTTGCCTCAAACTAAATGTTTCAACTGATATTTTTTGAAGGTTCATGTCAATCAGACATTCCTTTTTTTAAATGAACTGGATTTGATCACTGATCGTATATCTTAAACTTATCATAATGTATTCTGCTTTAATGCACACTTGAGATAAAACTTTTTTTTTAAAGAAATTGTCAAGCTTAATCAAAGACACTAGAGAATACAGGGACATACAACTGTGGTCTTTTCTTTGATAATTACATAAATTACCAAGTACCGGGTATTTCAATTTAAAAAAAACAAACTCTTGGAGTTGACAGTAGAATTTCTTTGTGACAAGTAAACAGCATTTTAATTTGTCAATTTTCAAAAGAAGTATATGTTACATTACAGTTGTAACCATTCTGTTATAAACTTAATTGATAGAGCATATTTTTAAAATTACGTTACATAAACTACTGGAACAAGTGTGATACGTGGGCACACATCTACTTATGTACATTTATCATGTTTAGCACCAAGACATGTCACACAAAACATCTTTCTTTACCCTTTGATGTGTGTTGTAATTACTTGTTCCTGTATTCTTTAGTGTCTTTGACCTAATGAATGAACAAGATAGTATACATGTATCTACTTGGAGCATATTTGCATCTTGTATTTGCAAAGTTCAATACTACAATATTAGCCACCAAATTAGCAGCAACTAGATTATTGTCATCATGCAAGAAACTAATTAGATCAAAGGAAGTTGAAATAATTCTTTATATTTTAAATACCTTGCTTGATAACTGCAAACATTGCTTTTGAATAAATTATAAAAATATATTCTATGATTATACCCAACCAATACATTTTACAAAACAAAATAATCTTTTTTTTTTCTTTTCAGTTATCGGTCTTATTTACTCAAGAGTGTGATAAGTTTAAAGATCTTGTTCACGTGCATTCATTCACTTACGACTTCCACCTTCGATATATCCAGAGCTATCTCACAACTAGGCATTGTATATTAAAACCATCTTATCACGTCACAAGCTTCCTCTCCGATTTTGTTCGTTATTATTCGCCGGGACCGAATTTCTCTAGGAATCACGTGTGTGAAGGTAGGAATCATAACAGATTTGAAATATAGTACAGTCACTCCTGTGATAGTAACCACCTCTTTATAAAGACCAGGAATCCCAAGTCATAAGATATAAGAAATCAGTGTATAATGACTACCTACCTCTATGTGACCACACTTTCAGCAATATTTTTGCAGATTCACCTTTTTTTAGAGACCAAAATAATAAATATCATGTATCAAACTAATTTTCTCAAGTCAAACTTGTTTGATTTCTGGACAAATATTATGTCAAATGTATAATTTGATGAAATAATCAAACCTCCATATAAAGACTACCTGTCTAATGAAGACCTTTGATCTTGCTGTCTGTCTGTCATATTGTAGGTGTGATGAATTTCCGAAGCAAACACACAGCTGCTGATATATTATTTGAATATATGTTGAAAAACTGTCCCACCTATGGCATGAAGGCGATGAAAATGAACAAAAATATGACAGATATGGAGAGTATGGATGACACAGACTATATTATGGTATGTGTCAGTGTAAATGAGTTTTAATATCTTAACTATTAGTTTGTGTTCTGTGCCTCTGTTCGTAGCCATTGTTATGACATGCTCTGGCCAATGTTTTTCAAACCTTATACAAGCACTATGGTATGATGATTTAATTTATTATATATATTTATACATGTTCATTACCATTTTATCAAATATATGATGGACTGGCTATCATTTAGGTGTTGACATTCTGATACTTAAACATGTCTGGAACTCTTTCTTGAAGACGAAAGTTTGATAAGTTCATATCATAATCATGCATATTGGATTACAGGGGCACGTCATATTATTTCAGAATCGGCTCAAAAATCTGATGGTCAGTTTGTTTTCATGTCCAGAATGATTACTCAGTAATATATTGCCTGATTTGATCAAAATTATCAAATTGAGGGCAGTTTTGTCAAAATTCCTGAATCACAGTCTGTAAACATGTTTCTCAGAAATAAACTGAACAAAAATAATCTTATGGGACAGTAGGATATGGTTTTAGATTTCCTATCAGAGTAGTCCTTTAAGTCACTGGATAGTTTGTTACATGTAAACTGCTTGTAGTTGAATATATGCATAATCTGTGCATTAAAGCAACAATATCTGTGATTTTAACCACATAAAGATGACCAAATCTTACAGAAATATTGTTTTAAAAACATCTGCATGGGCAAAGTGACCTTACACTAGGTCACACAATGTGATGTGAAAACCAAAAGTTGAGTAAAATAGCTGTTCCACAGACATATCTTATACATCCCAGGACCAATCAACTTTGAACTGCACACACCAGGTCATATGCCTTGCACCTATAATAGAAACAATAACTTTGAACTGCACACACCAGGTCATATACCTTGCACCTATAATAGAAACAATAACTTTGAACTGCACACACCAGGTCATATACCTTGCACCTATAATAGAAACAATAACTTTGAACTGCACACACCAGGTCATATACCTTGCACCTATAGTAGAAACAATAACTTTGAACTGCACACACCAGGTCATATACCTTGCACCTATAGTAGAAACAATAACTTTGAACTGCACACACCAGGTCATATACCTTGCACCTATAGTAGAAACAATAACTTTGACATTGACTTTGACAATGACTTGTTATAAATAAAAAGGTTGATGGGTGCAGTCATTGCCTTTTTTAGTCCCCATTCAGGCGCAGCCTGAAAAGGGGACTTATAATTCAGGTTTTGTCCTTTTTCCGTCTCCAACATTTTCTCAGAAATTCTACAGCAGGTATCAGTGAAACTTGGCAGGTTGATGAACAAGT